CCAAGAGTTTTCCCCAATGACCCACATCTGGACTCGACAAAGACCCCATGGCCCACGACAAAACCCAGCACCTTTGAAAAAGAGCATGTGTTCGGAAACACTCTTTAATGGCGACGAATATTAAGGAGTGAAATATATTTTCCTGACTAGCGAGGAGACTTCGTCAACCTCCTCACCCACAATTTTTATTAGAATGATCAGGAGCTAATTTAATGGGAGAAGTGCGCTACTTGCTCCGCGCAGAGTTTCTTTATATCCGGTTCGATATTGGTCAATTTTATCCTCAGATCTCCTCTTCTGGTTATTTCAAGTCGATTTCTCTTTGCGTCCACTAAGTCATTCACCGCACTAAACCCGCACTCAACCAAATAGGACGACGGAAAGTGGATTAATATATCTCTGGCAAGAGAACTACATTTTGGATATTTCTCCCTGATTCCATGACAAAGCCATGCCCGTGGTCCCGTATTTCTAAAAACACCCTCCATCGGCAGGTTAGATTGCAACTCCGCCAATTCTTGCTGGAATTCTAGCTCGGCCTCATTGAGGTCTACCAAGAAAGGCTGGCTCACCCAAAGTGGGAACTTCATTTCTATGAGATCAGAGAACCTTTCATTGAAATTTTCAATGAGCGTCGACATGTGCTCAACTATGATCATCAGGGCACCCTCGGACAGCTTACACTTCTTCAACCAAAGAAACTGATCGAGTTTCCTAGCTCTGACGTTGTTCGCAGCAACTCGCAAGAACTTTATGAAACCCTGAATGCTCTCCTGCGCCTCGATTAGAGAGACCTTCTTGCCTTGTAGCTTCAAATTCAAGCCATTCAGAAAGTCGAAGATATCGGCGAGGTAGCTTACGAGAATTTTCCCCTCAAACGATGTGAGGAGAGCCACCTCTTCCTTGTCTTTCAAGAATTCGACGACAGCGTCGAATAGTTCCATGAACCTTCGTAGGCAGTTTCCCTTGGAGAGCCAGCGTATTTCAGTGTGAATCAAGAGCCGCACGTGTGCTTCTTGCTGACCGTGACAAAACTGTTCGAATAAGCGCTCGAACTTGGGCTTTGCTTTTATCTCATTCACACATTTGATCACAGCTTGCATGACTTTGTGAAGACTCGGTGAGAGGGTTCTAGCCACCAGGTTTTCCCTGTGGATCACGCAGTGTATGGTGAGCATCCCGGGGTTGTCATCTTTCAACATCTTGAGACAACCTTTTTTTCTCCCCATCATGGCCGGTGCGCCGTCTGCCACGCATGAAACCATGTTTTCTATAGGGATTTTATGCTCTGACAAGTACTCCCGGACTTGCTTGTAAATGTCGGTTGCGGTCGTTGTCGTTTCCAGCGATCTACAGAACAGCATCTCCTCCTTCAGATCTTCCTGGTCTATATATCTCACATAACTCATCAGGAGGGCTTCGCTCTGTCTTATTGTGGACTCATCCATCTGTAGAGAAAAGCTACGGCTCCGCAATTTCTCGACCAGCTTCTGCTCGATATCTTCAGCCATACGATCGATTCTCCGGCAAACCGTATTGTTGCTCAGCGGCAATGCCGCAACTTCCTTGTCATCAGTCTGACCGACCGTTTTGAGGAATGTCGCTATCGCTGGCTTGATAAGCTGCTCTCCGACCGAATGGTTATTTCCAGTTTTCGCGATCAAGAGAGAGATTTCATAGCTTGCTTGCTGAACTCGAATCGCCGCGGACCTGGAGTTGGCGAACAAGAGCCTACCTGGTCTATTCTCGAAGCTTTACCTTCAACGACTCGAAGTACTCCAGTGGCGAGGCGGCCTTCTGAGGATGCTTCGACTTCAAGTGATGTTGAAGTCGACAGGATCTCATGGACTCATTGGACAAGACCTGGAGACAAATGAGACAGAGAGGCGCTGTCTCTTTCCTGTTGGTCTCGACCGCAATGAAGCCAAACTTCAGAAACTGCTCGGAATATCGCCGCTTTGGTCTTGTCTTCGGATTGCTCATTGCGGAGGGCTTGAGAGACGGCTCGCAATCTTGATTACCTGCACGAGAGTGATTTCGGACATGTTGAGTAAGCATACACAGAGCCGATTGCGCATATAATCACGGAAATATCTCGGCGCAATACTCACTCGAGAGCCACAACAATCATTTCTCTCATTTGTCACCACCCACCGCATCGACTACCGAAAGCATTCGAAGGATTCAAAGTGGGAGCGCTGCGAAACATCAATCTTGAGCGAGAGTAGAACGCGCATCTCGAATCTCGAACGTCCGCGCTCCACACTCATGTCAACACTAATCGTATGGACGAGAAAGAAGCATAAAAGCATCCTCTTATCCACGGATTCTCGGACGGAGAAGTCCCCGCCCGAATTCAGCTCCCGGTGCATCTCGCGATGAGTCTTGAATCGATAGTATGAAAGAGTCCGGAAGTCCCGTGACCCACTTGGGAAATCGCCGTGACCCACTTGTGGGTCACTTGCCCATACTTGGGAAACACTGCCTTAGAGTACTCAACTCATCAAATCTCTAGTTCGCCGAAACGGGAAGAAGAGTCGCTCATGAAATTGGACATGTCCGCGGTGCTGGGGTCCGTCACACCTACAGAATCGAGGCCCCTCTCCGTGAGTTTCTGGCCCCCTCTTTGATTGAAATTGACTAAATCATCGGTCGCATGGCAAATGGGAAATCTCCGGGTAGTGATGGCATCACTAGCAAAATGCTTAAATCAAACAAGACTTACTTCGTCCCGGTGCTCCAGCACCTATGTGAGCGCATCTTTCAATTCGGGAGGTTTCCCGCCCGGCTGAAGCAGGCTGATGTGGTTCTTGTATACAAGGGCGGCCCGACAGAGGACTTGCAGAACTATAGGCCAATTTCGCTTCTTAGTGTCCTTGGCAAGGTTGTTGAGGGTTCTATGGTCAGTCAGTTCAAGGAGTTCCTTGAGCGAAACGTCATATTATCTGAACGACAGTACGGTTTTCGCAGGAATCGTGGGACGTGTCAGGCGATACTCGACTTGCATTCATCAATTATTGAATCCATAGATGCGCGAGGGACTCCGGTTGTCTTTTTTTGCGGACTACTCGAAAGCTTTCGATTGCTTACCTCATGCCGCATCGCTCAACAAGCTTGTTCTCATCTCTCGCACTCGAAACCATAAGTAGTGACTTTGACTCAAGGTCTCAGCGACTTCGATGTGGAGCCCATCTCTCACACTCAGCATTGATCTCTTACGGAGTTACTCAGCTTCATGTTGAGTTTTGCGGCCGGAGTTGACCGAGCTGAGATTGAGAGGGTGATTCTCAAAGTGCGACATTGGTCGATGGCAAATGGTCTCTTGCTCAATGAAAAAAAAATGTAATTATATGATATCTGGTAACCAATCTGTAAAACCTTGCCAGCCGATCACAATCCAGTCCGATCATGCTTGCACAGAACCGTGTTCATGTCCTGTCGTTTCCTGTGCCCGACGGCCGCGTTATCTGGGGGTCTCGATAGATGACAAGCTGTCCTGGAGGCCGCATGTCGCGAGTCTTGTCAAGAAGCTCAGACCGGCCGTGGCTTGTCTTGCGAAGCTTGGTAGATCCGCGTCCTCTGAAGTCATTCTACAGGGTGCTAGCTGATTTGAGCGCATATGTGATTTGGGCGCTGCGTGATTCGAGCGCGAGTTTGATTTGAGCGCGGCTTCGAATTGAGCTCGGCTTTGAATTGAGCGCAGGTTTGAATTGAGCGCATGTTCAATTCGAGCGCAGGTTTGAATTGAGCGCAGGTTTGATTCGAGCGCGGGTTTGGACTGAGCGCAGGTCTGATTTGAGCGCAGGTTCGATTTGAGCGCAGCCTGAATTGAGAGCATGGGTTTTGGTGGTCCTGAGGGGGAGCATCATCACTCATCACTTAGTAAACAATTTTTCCCCTCTTTCGAATTGTTCCCAGGAAAAGATTCTCGAATGCCAGGATCAAGGGGCGAGAATCGAGAATAATGAGTGGCTAGATAACTCTTTTCGTGCATGATAAATCACAAGTTAATTTATTTTCATGTACAAGGGTCAAGAATCACGAAGACACCGGTGGTGACCTGAGGACCGAACGACCGCAGCGTGTCTCGACGGTCGGGATCAAGTTAAAACGTGATATTGTGTGCGATTGCACGGAGGAACTGGAGGCTATCACGTGCCTCATACGTTGAAACCAATGCGTAGATCCTTGCTTGACGGTCCCGGTATTTCTTCTTCGATGTGGTGCCAATGCCCTGAGCCAGAGAGTTGGAAGCAATGAACTCAACTTTTCCTTGCTCAACCTTCAGGTGTTCTAACAATTTGAACACTGACGGGTGAGAGGATCCGACTCTTCTCGCGAAAGCGGAATGCCATCCCTCAACTTCGTTATTCGTTCGTCCCATAGAATTGAGCGTTGAAGAATGAACATTCCACCACTCCACTTTCATCGTCGGTGGGTTTCTGTTCCAGCCGACCCATTGACTTTCAAAATAATTTATGAAATCAGTGAGCAGTGCCTCGTTCGTTCGGACGAAATCGGAATCGGTCAGCGTAGCAAAGAGATCGCGTACTTGATCTACCGGAACATAAGAGAGGGCCGGAAACATTCGTAAACCCAGAGCAAAATCGGCATCCCGCAGGTAGTTAGCTCTCAGCTCGCTATCGTTCTGCACGCGTCGCCATATACATTGACAGAAGTGAAATGAGCATCCGAGAATGCCAGCAGCTGGAAAGACTTTTTCAAGCTCTCTGATCATTGCCAGTTCGAAGTCAATGTGGATGGCGTCCGGATGAAATCCGTCGATCGCATCGAGGAGAATTTGCAGTAGTCTGCGATAGGTCTGAGCGTTCTTCGCTGGCAACAGTGAGTAAACAACCGGCACCGTTTTACCGCGGGCAATCTTACATGGAATGTGTAGAGCTGATGGAAGATGAGTGGACAAACCTTAAAGGTACCATCTACGAACCACTCAGGACTCATTTTTAAGAGCTCGAGATTCTTTGCCGTGGCGAAAACGATAATTCTGTTCACGTCTCCTACTCCGGAATCGTAGTGGACGAATCGTTCGCCGCGGAAGGTCGTCTTCAGAAACTCCGGGATTTCCAAGTCCTCTCGCCGGAGCGGATTTACCGGGAGCGACGGTCCTGCAGCTGCTCTAGCATACGTTATCCGCTGGCGCATCAAGTTGTATGTTTGGTCATTCCCCTTTCTACGGCTTCAGAATCTACTGTGCTGACTAGGTTCCCGATGATCGTTGCGTTCGATGCAGAAACATTCTTTACCGCATACGAACGAAGTTCATTCATCTTACGGCGAACCTCGATGCCACCGGGCTGGGCGGATGCATGTGTTCACTTGGTCCCTGGAGAAATTCACAGATTTGAAGATTCGAATCGGGTCGCCGATTTGGGAGAGGATCATCATTCCAGAATAGTTTCAAACGCCAAGAGCGAGAATCTTGCTTGACGTGATAACTGTGATTATAATTCCAGTACTCACATCATGTCCGCCGTTGCAGGTTTTCACTCGAGACTTGCA